CGCAAATACAAGATCTTTGTCATATTAGGTAAGACACCATATTCTATTCTTAATCAATTTATTTATGCTCTCAAGAGTTTTGATAAAAGGAAAGATGAAAAAGACGTGCCCCACAACAAAACAAAAACATGATATTCTCTGCTCAAAAAGTAGGGGAAGAGGAATCAATAACATTAACTCCAGAGAAACATGTTTCAGGCATGTTGGACAGGAAACAAGTCCTCGGAACATTCAATATGGAGCAGGTTCTCTGAACAATAAAAGTTTTCAAACTGAAAATAAGAAGAGGAATAATATTGAGTCATGTCAAATCAGTGATAGGAATTATCATACTACTCTTAATGGTGGAACTATTCGTATCAATTTGTAAATGAACTATCACGAGCAACGACTAGACATCATAGATATATCGAAGCATTGATAAAAAAAGTTTTTGCTCTGTATTCAAAGTTCTTTTTTCTGGGTATTCGAAGCAAGCTAGGAGTAATTGTTCCTCTACTCAATAGCTTAAGGGGAAGCATTGAAGAAGAAGGAAGCTCACGATTAGAACATATCAAAGGAACATGTCCAACAAAGCTTCTTGATGTGTCTACATCAAGTGTTGGTGAAGAAGGAAGCTGACAATTGATACATGTCAAAGGAACATGTCCAAGTAAGCTGATTGATTGAGTTTACAACACTACTCTAGAATTATGATTATTATTATTATTATTATTATTATTATTATTATTATTATTATTATTATTATTATTATTATTCTACTACTACTAGTCGTTCGAGAGCTGTGCACCAACTCATGCAGACCTAGAACCTAGAGGTTGTGTGTACTTTTTCTAGTTGTCCTTTCTTGTATATGAAAACCATTCGAATTAGGTTCCCTTATATGATCCCTTTGTTTTTCAAATCATCAAAGCTAAGAAATAACAATATGTTGAAAAGACAATAATGACTTGTAATTATATCTACTTAGTGATTTGAGATAACTTCATTGACTTCTGACTTATGTGTTTGACTGTATGAAATTTCTTGTCAACTTACTTTATAGCTAGCCTTGATTATATATCAATTACTCCCTCTGTTTTTTTTAAAAGACTTTTTTTCCACTTTAGTTTTTTTTTAAAAAAAAGGAATGACCTCTTTCCTTTTTTGGTAATTATTTACTTTCAGCTTGCCACGTGGCATGTTTAGAACCACAAGATTGAAAGTCAATTTAGTATATTTGATCGCGCCTCATTTTCCGGAATTTTTTCTCTCTCTAGATTTTCTCTCTCTTCGCAGATGCTCTTTCTCACAACGGCTGAATCCCACATTCGCCCAGCGCTGCAATGGCGCGTGGGCCGCCGGCAGCCGTCAAATGGCCGCCGGACCAAACCCAAAAGGAGTGCCTTGATGTAGGATCCCTACCCCAGCTTAACACGCTCCAAGAACAATCCCAGAATGCCTCAAAATTGCAGGTGAAAGATGCGATGGAACCTGGGATTATTGAAAGGGTTTTCGTCGAAGATCGCGAAAATATTTCCCCAAAGATTTCTGAATGGAATCGAGAGGAATCAAGTAGGGAAATGAATTCCCCTCATCAGGATCTGTTACCAGTCCAAAAATTATCCATTTCACCATCCCAATCGATCAGAATCAAGAGGCGATTTTGGAAGAAATCGCGACGGAATCTCCGGAGTCGCGTACCCATTATCGATCGACTTCCAGTCAAATTTGAAAGGATTTGATTAATGGGGTTTGTTCTCCCAAGGATGAGTCACCTCTAAGCCAAATCTCGAGGCAGAGGAACGGCGGAATCGCCGGCGGCGAGAAGTCCGGCGACTTTAAAACTCTTATCGCCGGAATCAATGGCAGTTCAATAAAAAGACTAACTCTCAGGCTCAAAACATTCATGTAACTCCACTGCTCCATCAAACTGATAGAGAAATCACTAACAACAACAATCTATCTTTTCCAACTGATCACAAGTCCAAAGGCCAGCAAGAGAAACACGAAAGTACAGGGGAAAACTCAAGTTGTACTCGACGGGAGACACAAAATGTCAATGCAGCGGCTCCACTAATAATTGATGCAAAAACAATGATAAACGAAAACAACACTCAACAGGGGGAGAATTCGATTGATCAACATGGCACTAATATGAAGAACATGACCACATATTCAAGAGCTTCAACAAATGGAACTTCCAATTTTTCCTTTGCTATGACAGGTAATTCATCCCAACTAACACCTAATCTTAATGCAGGTACTTTACCAATTATGCATAACAAAGATGACAAAGGTAGGAGGAATGGGAATGCAATTGAGCAAGGACAGGAACAAGTAAAAGAAAAATCTGATCACTCAAACGGCATGAGCAGCAAGCTGAGGAAGGAAAAAAGAAGATCAAAGAAGCCAAATCAGATCACCGACAAGGTAACAATGTGAAGCACACTGAGCAAGAAAGGAACACCTATAAACAAGTGGGAGGTAATTCTGGTAACCAATTCGATCGTGCAAGTGAGGAGTACCACAACAACTTCCCCAAAATCTCCAATAATTATTCAAGGTATGATCCTGATCTCCAAGTTGATAGAAATAATAATCAGGGTGGTCAGGTCATTCCTGTTACTACTAGACAGTTTCACAATCAACAACAGGGTCAGCAACCTAATAACAACAACAACACTAATCAAAACTCGAAACCTGCCCCATACACTGTGGTTCAATCCTTTGTTGCTAGGCTGAGATACAACCAGACCACAAATGAAATCCCAATTAGTTTAAATGAACCTATTCACACGACTAGACAAGGATTGCCTGTTGTTCTTATTGATGAGAATGACTATTATGTTAAATTGGCTGAGATTTGAAAATACACTTTAGTGGGTAAGTTTACAAACATCATGCCTAGAATGGAACAAGTGAGAAAAAGCTTTATTTTACAAACTCAACTGATGGGGGGTGTTAATATCACTCACTTCAATTCTAGGCATGTCTACATTGATATGGATAATGAGCTTGACTACCAAGCTGTTTGGACTAAACTGAAAATGACCATTGAAGGACAAACTATGAGAATGCAAGCTTGGACCCCGGATTTTACACCTGAAAAGGAAACACCTATTGTTCCTATATGGGTGTCTATTCCATGTCTCCCTTGGCATTGTTACAACAAAGTCTTTTTGTCAACCATTTTGGAGAGTATTGGAAAAGTACTATTTTTAGATTCACCTACATCTCAAAGAACTAGGGGCAGTACCTCTAGAGTTAAGGTCCAGGTTGATCTTACTAGGGAAAGACCATCCCATGTTTGGTTGGGATTTAAAAATTCCAACCCCAACAAGAGAAGATGGTTAAAAGTGGAGTATGAAGGCATTCCTAGTTACTATTTTTATTGTAAACATCAAGGCAATTAGGATGAAGAGTGTACGATCAAAAGAAGAGATGAGGAAATCAAGAAAACAAAGGAAATAGAAGTAGGAAAAAATAGTAAAGAAAAGAGTGGAGAAAAAATATAGGAACAGGGAAAGAGTTCAAAGGAACATACAACAAGGAACTCCAATCAACCAAACAAAAACCAAAAGGGAGGAAAAGGGAAATCTGATGATCAGAATCAAGCAAAGGCACAAGTGACAGGCAAACAACAAAGGAAAGATATACAAAATCAGGATGAGAAGGGGCAGCAAGTGGAGAGACAGGAAGAACGGTGGCAAACACAGAAGAAAAAACACCAAAAAAATCAAGAACAAGTCATCTCCAAAACTGTGTGGAGACCTGTCACCCCACCAATGCAAGGAACCGATGGAAGCCAACAACAAGAACAAGCATCTGCAGGTATATCTATACTCTCAACTCGAAATATTTTTTCACACCTTGAAATGCAGGAAAACCAGGAAAGACAACAAACAGGGCAGCAGAGATTCAGGGAAGCAGCAAGCCAGATGAATCAACCCAAAAATGGAAGCTGTGTTGAACAACCTGTCAAAAACAATCCAAACAATTTTAAGACAGAAAATTAGCAGGCTGCTGAGAGCAACAACAACAAGACCTCAGGTATTGACCTATCTCTCCCAAACCCCAAAACCCCCAATATTATAAATGTTGATGTTGGTCATACTGAAGAAGTTTTTTGATGATTGGATGGGGGTGCAAGGAGATAGACACTAATCTGGGATGGGGTGACCAAAAAGGGGAATTTGCCTCATGTTATGCATGAAGGGTTGGATTATGACCATAGAAATGACCATAGAGCCTCTAGTAATGCTAAGAACACATTGAAACAGCAGGAGCAACAACTTCAGCAGCAAATTCAGAACAGTGGCAATTGTAAGCAGAATACCAAAGAAAAAAATGTGAAACAACAAACTGGAAAAAAATGGTAAAGATCAAGGGAAACAAAGTGTTACTATGGATACTGAAGGTAATCCTAGAAGTAAAAACAAACCTAGTAAACAAAAAAGAGATGCTGAAAAAAGGAGGCAAAACAGGCAGCGGGACAGGGACAGTGAACATGAGCAGGGAAGAATCATGTAATAGATTTGTAATGGTTGATGATAACTAAGGTTTGGATATACTTCCCTTACACATTCAGTATATGACTCCCTCCACATTAGACCATTCTTATAAGAAGCAACAAAAGAGTAAAGTTAATCCAGAGCCTATCTTGGTTGAATATGTTGTGATTAATTCTGAAGATGAACTTGTATGGGATAATCAATCTCTAGATGACTATGATGATAATGATAAGAGTAGTGAGGTTCTTATTAGGGCCTTCAGTCCTTATAAAGATCAGACACTACAGAATAAGATTCAACAAGTTACTAAAAACCAGTCCTTATCTCCAAGGAGCTTCCAACAAGACAAATTCCATTTCACTAAGCAATATGCCAATACTGTCACTGCTGGCAGACCTAACACCAGGCCTTTTCATCCAGATCTTTCCAATGATTAGTACAATCATATGGAATGTGAGGGGGATCAACACTCAAGGAGTGTTAGAAAAACTCAAAATGCTTAGTAAAATGCACCATTTATCAATTATAGCCATTCTGGAACCTTTCTCAGATAGTGTTAATATTCAAAGCTTCAAAGTGCAATTGAACATGGACAATGCTACTAGTAATTGTAATAGTAAGATTTGGGTTTTTTGGAACAATGATATTGACTGTAATATTCTTGATGAAGATGAACAACAAATTACTTGTGACATGAAACACAATGAGTTAAAATACCAATTTACTAGTACGTTTATCTATGCAAAATGCAAAGAGTACCTTAGGAGACCTTTATGGGATAAATTGCTTCATCATGCCTCAGTAAGTACCAATCCTTGGTGTGCTGTGGGGGATTACAATGTTATATTTGATGTTGATGAAAAATTAGGAGGTCTGCCTTACAATATGAGGAAGAGTATGGATTTCATTGCTCTCATTGAAGCATGTGGTCTTGTAGACATAGGTTTCAGTGGACACAGATTCACTTGGTCTAATAAGAGGGGTTTTAATAACAGAATTTGGAAGAGGCTAGACAGGGCCCTGGTTAATGATTTATGGTTAGAAAAGATGCCTCAAACCACCATAACTCATTTATCAACTACGGGATCAGATCATTGTCCTTACCTATTGGAAATGGTATCCACTGAAGTCGACCGCATTAAATATTTCAGATTCCTTAACTGTTGGGTTGATAATCCCAATTTCATGCTTACTGTTAAAAATTGCTGGGATAGACCTATGGAAGGTAATGCTATGTGGAAGTTTCATCAGAAAATGAAAAGATTATCAAATACTCTTAGTGTTTGGTCTAGAAATGAATTTGGGGATATTTTTCAAAAAGTTAGGATGTATGAGGAACAAGTGCACGAAGCAGAAGAAAACTACATCCGGGACCAAACTGATTCAAATAGGATTACTCTCCATGAACTCAATGCTCAATATATCAAATTCCTCAAGATTGAGGACACTATATTGAAACAGAAAACTCAGCTTCAATTGTTTAAAGATGGTGACACCAACTTCAAATATTTTCACTCCATCATAAGGGCAAGGAGGAGGAAATTATTTATTCACAAAATTATCACAGAAAATGGTGATTGGATACAAGGTGAGAACAATATTGCTCAAAATGCTTGTGATCACTTCAATGCCATTTTCACAAGTGAGAATAAGCACATTAATGAACAAAACCTGGAATGCATTCCAAGAATGGTCAATAAGGATCAAAACACTCAGCTTACAAAGTTACCCGATATGGATGAGCTTAAAGAGGTAGTATTTTCCATGAATCCTAACTCTGCAGCTGGTCCTGATGGTATGAATGGGTACTTCTTTAAAAAATGCTTGAACATTATCAAGAATGATTTGGTAGAAGTACTTCATCCTTTTTTCAGTGGCCAAATGATTCCTAAGTACTTCTCTCATTCTTGTATTGTGTTGCTCCCTAAAGTGAATAATACAAACAAGCTTACTGAGTTTAGGCCAATTAGTCTGAGTAACTTCACTAGTAAGATTATATCTAAACTAGTAAGTAACAGACTTAGTCCTATCCTTCTGTCCTTGATTTCTACCAATCAGTCTGGCTTTGTGAAAGGGAGAAGTATTTCTGAAAATATTATGCACGCCCAGGAAATCATTCACCAAATCAAGAAACCCAACATTGGAAGTAATGTAATTATTAAATTAGACATGGAAAAAGCTTATGACAGGGTTTCTTGGTCATATATTTGCTTGGTTCTAAGAAAAATGGGGTTTAATGAGGTGTTTATTGATATGGTTTGGAGAATCAAGGCCAACAATTGGTACTCTATTATTGTCAATGGCAAAAGGTATGGTTTCTTCCGCTCTACTAGAGGCCTCAAATAAGGTGATCCTCTTTCCCTGGCCCTATTTATTTTAGGTACCGAGGTATTATCAAGATCACTCAACAGGCTTCACAACCATCCGGACTATCATGGTTTCATCATGGAAAAGAGGGGGCCCCAAGTGAATCATCTAAGTTTTGCGAATGACATAATTCTTTTCACTTCCGGAAGATGCAAAACCTTGAAAATTCTGATGAATACACTAAAGGAGTATGAAAAGACTTCGGGGAAACTTATCAATGGAGATAAAAGCCATTTTATGCTACACTCTAGTGCTTTGAATAGCACTAGGGATAGAATTAAAACGCTGACAGGCTTCAAACAAAACAGGGCCCTATCACCTAACTAGGTTGCCCTTTATTTGTTGGCAGACCTAGGAATGTTTACTTTTCTGATCTTATTAACAAAGTCATTTCCAGAATTACAGGTTGGCAAACTAAGCAACTTAGTTATGGATGAAAGGTTGTACTCTCCAAACATGTCCTTCAGGCCTTGCCTATACACCTTTTATCAGCAGTAACCCCTCCAACTACAATTATCATACAGATCCAAATGCTCATTGCTGATTTCTTCTGGGGATGGAAGAATAATAGGAAAAAATGCCATTGGCCTTCTTGGAAAAATCTGAGCTACTCTCATGAGGAAGGGGGTGGGGATGATAAACTTACAAGATGTTTGTAAATCCTTCCAATTCAAGCAATGGTGGATCTTCAGAACAAAACAGACCTTGTGGGGAGATTTCTTGAGAGCTAAATACTGTCAAAGATCTAATCCGATTAGGAAGAAATGGGATACTGGAGAGTCATTGACTTGGAAACATATGTTAGTTAATAGACAATAGGTTGAGCAGCACATTTAGTGGAGACTTCAAGCTGGGAATTGTTCCTTTTTGTGGGACAATTTGCTTGGCACGGGGATACTAGCTCAGCATACAAGCAGCAGCAACAGGCTCAACAACATTACAGTTGCAAAATTTTGGGAAAATGGGGAATGGAATTGCAGCAAATTGGAGGAGCATCCCCCAGTAAGCCAGCTATCCAGCATCTTGGCTACAGAAATTCCTCACCAACAGCATAGGCCTGATCAAGCTGTTTGGAAATTCAACAGTCAGGGTAGCTTCAGCTACTCTTCTGCCTGGGAAGAAATCAGGAGCAAAATGGATAAGAACCATTTCACCTCTCTATTATGGAATAAATGCATTCCTTTTAAATATTCTTTTCTTTTATGGACAACACTAAAAGGTAAGCTCCCTACCAATGACAAGTTATCTAACTTTGGCATTGAGCCATCACACTGTTTTTGTTGCATTGATAGAGCAGGCATGGACACCATTGATCATACCTTCAATTCAGGCCAATTTGCATCTAGGGTGTGGAACTTTTTTGCAGCAACTGCAGGGCTGCAAGCTAACCACTCCACACTGCTGGCACTGATCAAACAGTGGTGGACAATCAAGTCAAAAAATGCAATCCATCGACTGTTGCTGCAAACCACACCAATTTTCATTTGCTGGAATTTATGGAAGAATAGGTGTGCATGAAAATACAGTGGCAAAGCAACTAATACCAGCCACGTCAAGTATGCAATCTACAAAGACACATTCAAAATGCTGAAAAATACCTTCTCACGCATCAATTGGCCTGCTAGATGGACAGCCTTAATCCAAACGAGTGAAAGGTGTATCCATGACATTAAAGTGTGCATGGTAACATGGTTTAAACCTACGGATCAATGGATCACGATAAACACAAATAGAAGTGCACTCACCAATCCGGGAAAGATTGGGGCTGGGGGTATCATCAGAGGTAAAGAAGGCAAATTGGTGATGGCTTTCTCAACATCTCCTGGAGAAGGATCCAACAACAAGGCTGACATTGATGCTGCTCTCTTTGGACTAACTTGGGCAGTTGAACTTGGATTCAGAAACATTTTACTTGAGTTAGACTCTTAATTGGTGGTGCATTGGATTTCAAAGAAAACAGCCCCACATTGGAGTATTACAAAGCAGCTTGAAAGACTCCAACACATTATTATGCAAACTGATAACTTCAAATGTTCTCACATTTTTAGATAAGCAAATTGGGTAGCAGATGCACTTTCAAAGCTCAGCCACAACACAACATCTCCTCAAGTTTACTTCAATAGCAACCAACTTCCTAAAGAAGCACAAGTCTACTACCAAATGGACTTACTGAACATGCCAAGCTTTAGAAGAAAGAAGACTAAGATGATTTTTGATCCTCCTTGATATTAGTACCTTTTAAACTTAGCTATATTTAAATAATATAGCTACTTTGAATAGGGGTATAGGTTAGTTAGTTGATAGGCTTTCTTGTAAAGGGAGAGTCTCCCTAATTTATGCTTCCTAGATACTTTGTAATGAGAGGAGTCCTCTCCTTAGGTGCTTAGTATTTTGGTTTCATCTTTCATTGTACAGAGCGGAGTTGACATTCTTCTGGAAAGTCGACTCTAAACCACATTAGGATTGGAGGTTAGGTCTATGCCCCCCTCCTTGTATTTTTTTTTTTGTTATTAATGATAAGGCCTGGGGGTGTCGCTCAGCCCCTACCCATCCAAGGGTTATTCAACTAAAAAAAAATTAGTATATTTGACATAACTTTAATTTAGGACTACAACATTCAAAAATCTTCTTTATTTTCTAAAATTTCATGCCAAGTCAAACTAGGTCACTCTTTTTGAAACGGGGGAAGTATAAATCATAGTTGGACTACGATGCGTAGAGGTTACATGTACATAATGTTTGTATTGATGTTATTCATACTTTTTTAAGTGTTTGACTGTGATCGAAGTGTCTATTGATTCTGCATTTAGCCGCATAACCTCCGTTTGAATGTCGCAAAATCTACTTCATTTTTTATGTCTCCCTTTCGGACATTGAGGCAATATATTACTTTGGAACTAAATAAACCAAATTAATGAACTTACACATGAATTAATTCAACTTATTTTAAAACGTTTCCTTTTTTCATAGAAATAGAGAGTAGTGCCTAGACTTTTATTAGCCTTTGTAAAATTTACTAATGTGTTTTCTAATAGTGCAAAGAGCAAGTACATTTGATTGTTTAAAGGATATAAATATACAAAAAGATTTTTTTTTTTTAAAACTTCAAATAAAAAGCGATATTAGATTTTTTTTTGTATTGCTATATGTGTATCCATATACATCTTTACTCCATATATACAAGTATTAGACTCCTAATTGTAACTGAATTCCAACGTACTCCTAATTTTAACAAAATTCTTACCAACTAAATAGAGATTAATCTAAACGAAAAAATAGTCTCGTGGTTAATGACACAAAACTCCTTATTTAATTCTATTAGAGAATCTGACAAGTCTGCGTATAACCTGTAAAGCCCAGCATCATTGTTTTTATTTCCTTTCTCTGTTATTGTCTCTTGAGAGCTATTGGCGAGGATCTTGTCTCCAACAACACCCTCCCGCAAGTTGGAGGTCGGTGAACAGACGCCACTTGAGAAGAAGGGAACGATGAAGCGGCCCAGAGAGGGCTTTTGTAAACAAATGGGCAAGCTAAGAAGAAGAAGGGACAAAATATAAAGAAATCAGACCATCAAGAAGTTTTTCACCGATGAAATGAGAGTCCAGCCAAATGTGTTTGGTTCATTCGTGAAAGACGGGATCTTTAGCAATAAGGATGGCTGTCTGGTTGTCACAATGAAGAGAAATCAGCAAAGAGGGAGAGAGGGAAAAATTATGTAACAGGCGAACCTCCCAAGTGACCTCTGAAATTAAGAGATACATGGAACGGTACTCTGCCTCTACAGAAGAAAGAGCGACAACTGGCTGCTTCTTATATTTCCAAGAAATAGGAGAGCCACCAAGGCTAAGAAAAAAACCACTTACGGGATCGGAGCAAGAAGCCAATCAGAATCGCAAAAGGCAAGGAGTTGAAAATGAGTCTGGGAATAAGAAAAAACCAAAACTAGAATCTCGAATTAAATATCTCAGAGTATGATAAGCAGCGGAAGATGACCTTGGCATTGACTTTACATATATTGACTAAGGGTTTGGACCGTAAAATAAAGATTTGGTCGGGGGTTAGTCAAGAAATTGAGTTTTCCCATAAGTCGTCGGTAAACAAGAGGGTCTGGAAGAGGAGATCCACAAAATGAAGAGAGTTTGGCAGTGGGATCTAAAGGAGTAGAGACAGATCTGGATTAAAGAAAATTAAATTCATTTAAGGTATGTACAACAAATTTACGAGGAGTTATAAGCATACGACAATTCTCATGAATCAATTCCATTCCCAAAAAATAACGAGCCTCTCCGAGATCTTTAATGCAAAACTTAGAATCCAAAAATAACTTGATATCACAATTTCCTGTAGGTTATTACCAGAGAGCAGGATGTCGTCAACATAGAAAACAAGCAAGGTAACCAACTCCCCAATGTGCTCAAAGAACAAAAAATAGTCATTCAAGGAGTAGATGAAACCTCTTCTATTCAAAGCAGAAGATAGACGTGCATACCACTGACGAGATGCTTGTTAAATCCATAAAGAGACTAACGGAGCTGAAAAGGAGGAGAAGCAACCAAACAAGGAGGAAACTGTATGTAAACCTCTTCATTGAGGTTCCCGTAAAGGAACAAATTTTTGACATCGAGTTGGTAAAGTTTCCAGCCCTCTTTACAAAAATAAAGAGGAGACATCTGATAGTTGTCATTTTGATAACGGGAGAAAAAGTTTTTGTAAAGTCAATCCCTTCACATTGTGTATCACCCCCCCCCCAAATAACCAGACGAGCTACGCTCAAAATACTCATCCGACTTAAGTTTAACTTTATATACCCATTTGTAGGGAAGGGCATTCTTGGTGGGTGGCAATTGAACGATGTCCCAAGTATGGTTGGAGTTAAGAGCGTCAAATTCCTTGGCCATTGTGGCCTTCTAGCTGGGATGCAGTACAACTCGATGATAAGAAGTGGGTTTAGTAATTTGACAAATAGAAGTTAGTAAAGA